TGATAGGATTTGCAGTGGACCTAAGTATTACTTTAGGTAAAATGAAAAGTTTATATTAATTCTTTTTGTCATGAGTGCAGAATATCTCAACATTTATTTGTATCTTCTTCAATATTTTTCATTAATGTCTTACAGTTTTCAGTGTACAAGTATTTCATCTCATTATTGTTGTTCAGTTGCGAAGTTGTTTCCAACTCTTTGTGACCCCATGAACTATGGCCCAAAAGGCTCGTCTGTGCATGTAATTTTCCAGGCAAGAATACAAGAGTGAGTTGCCATTTCCTTCTCCTTGTTTACATTTATTTTAGGTATTTTCTCCTTTTTAATGAAATTGTAAGAGGGATTGTTTTTTTCATCTATATTTCTCATAGTTCATTTTTAGTGAATAGAAATGCAATAGACTTCTATATATTGATTTTGTATCCTGAAACTCTACAGAATTTGTTTATTTTAATTTTCCTTGATGGAGTCCTTAGGATTTTCCATATTTAACATGTCATCTGCAAATAGTGAAAATTTTACTTCTTCCTTTATGATTTGGATGTCTTTTTCTTTTTTCATTCCACAGAATGACTTGAGACTCATCCATGTTTGCCCACTTTTATTACTGAGTAGAATTCTATTGAATGGATAGAGAAATAGTTTGTTTACCACACTGTCTTGGTGAGAGTACCTTTATGATAACTTAAGTCAAATCAGGAAGAAATATTCCAACATTGTTTTTTTTCTTCTATTTTCTTTTAATATTCTAGATTCTTTGCTTTTTATATTAATTTTATTGTCAGATTGCTAACTTTTACCAAAAAATTTGATAAAATTTTTTACTGGAATCCATTGAATATATAGAAAAAATTGAGATAGTTGACATCTTAATAATGCTAAGATAATATCAGCATGAAGGAAATATAAAATGTTCCTCTTTTCTTGTTCCCCTGTTCAACAACTAAAAATCAATATCAATCATAAACAAGAACATCTCTTTGGGAGTTGTAGAATCCAGCACCTCATTACAAGAGACCCAAGAAAGGTCTAACCCACCTCTGTATGGGCTGTGGAACCAGCAGAATCCTTTAAAACTGTTGCTGTTGTTCAATCACTAACATAGCTATTCACAGCTGCAATTGAGAAAACCTGCAGGATGCTGATGTGGATCGGCACCTATTGATGAGAAAAACTTTATAGAAGTCCTGCCATCTGGAAGGATTCTAGCACATCACTGGAGAAAAAAATTACAAGTTTTAAAGCACCGGGGAAGATCCTGGCATACCAGTGCTATGCCAGTACTGTACTGTTCACATACAATTTTCTAAAGATGGTGGTGAAGTGAAAGTTGCTCAGTTGTGTCTGACTCTTTGCCACCCCATGGACATACAGTCCATGAAATTCTCCAGGCCAAAATACTGGAGTGGGTAGCCTTTCCCTTATCCATGGGATTTTCCAAACCCAGGGATTGAACCCAGGTCTCCTGCATTGCAGGTGGATTTGTTACCAGCTGAGCACAAGGGAAGCCCTTAAGATGGTAGAACTCATATTAAATGTTCAAAACACAATAAAATAACATTTCAATACATACATAAATAAAATTTCATTCTGTTTACATGTGCACTATTTGGCATTAGTTATTTCTTAATTTAGGCAAAACAACCAAGAAAAAGCTTGTGATAAAAATTGTTTTGCTCTCAAATTTTGAAAATTATTCCGGTGGGACATACTGACTTGTTTTAATAAATGTGATTCTTTATGAGTTAAAGTGTTCCTACCCAAGTGTGGGAGAAGACTTGATAATTTCTAGGATTAAGAAAACCCAAAGAACAAGGAAGCAGGAGATAAATTTCAGCAGGTGATAAATCAAAAAGAATGAATTTCTAAATATGTTTTGGAACTATATCCTTTTGCGGGTTTACTGCTTATGTAATTTTTGACTTGCTGTTTGGCAAATATTGGAGTTCACTGGAAATGCAGTGACTGCACATTTTTGGGAAAGGTCACCCCAAACATGCACATGTAAACCTATCTATATCTATATATAGAGAGATACATAGTGAGAGAGAGAAGGGCAAAGAGAGTTAGGTTTTTCATTTACCTTCAAGAAATGAGAAGGCACTCAGTTTGGTGACAGTGAGTATGACTCTCTGGTGTTATAAAGTTTATTTAATATACTTCAAAAGTAATGCTGGGAAAGATTGAGGGAAGGAGGAGACGAGGACAACAGAGGATGAGATGGTTAGATGGCATCACTGACTCAGTGGACATGGGTTTGGGTAGACTCCAGCAGTTGGTGATGGACAGGGAGGCCTGGCGTGCTGCAGTTCATGGGGTCGCAAAGAGTCAGACACGACTGCCAGAATGAACTGAGCTGAACTGAATGTATCTATATGTGAAATTTATTTCTACCTTCAATAAAATATAATTTTCCATTGAAGTTTTAAGCCTTAATTATATGTATATAATTTTTTTCTAGGAGATTTCTTCTTTTTTTCCTTCTTTGGGGCTTGATTTCATGATTTGAAAAAAAGACAGAATGAGCAATGCTCTGAATGTGTAACAGGAACACGCCATATGTCCACTGGGATCTATCTCCTCACTATAAAGTTTCTAACCTGAAAAAAAACCTGACTAACTTTCATATCAACCATGGGTAGAATGGTACTCTATTCACAATCTCTATGAGAAGTGGTAGGAGTTTGGAAAAATATTCAGTTTTTATTAACAATGTTTGTGGGGTCTTCTGGAAAAATTCATTTATTTTAGCAATTCAAATGATATTCAAGGAATGTCTATAGTGTTTATAGCTATCAAAAACGACTAGCTTAGGTTCCTCACAGTCACCAGTCTTGGTATCCTATGGATGTCATTCTCTTTGGTTCTCTTTCTCATCTCTAATTGTTTCCTTCCCTCAGCCTTCTTTCCTAAGCTACCTCTACCATTAAAACCTGAAAGCTTTGAGTTGAGCTCTGTATAGCCTTGGTCAAAAGAACATACACAAATTCATTTCTTTAGAAAAAATAACCCTAATAAACCCTGAATAGATTCATATAGTGAATGAGATAGAATATTTATTTTAATTTTTGATAAAAGATAAAGGGACAATAGGTAGCTTTTAAGAATAGTAGGGTCATTCATTTTTTATTTTAACTGTTAGTACATACATGATTTCTAATAAGTGAAAGCCACTGAGTTGTGTCTGATTCTTTGCGACCCC